CGGGGCGGCCATAACGGCTAAATTTGATTTTTGACCGTTTTGTCCCCAAAAACGATCATATTGTGAGGATTTTTTGGTCATTTACCTAGGAGACTGCCTCTATAAATAGAGCGGGGCGGCCATAACGGCTAAATTTGATTTTTGACCGTTTTGTCCCCAAAAACGATCATATTGTGAGGATTTTTTGGTCATTTACCTAGGAGACTGCCTCTATAAATAGAGGGGGGGTTTTTACTTCTTCTCATCACACCAAAACTCATCTACTTCTCTCTAATATTCTCTTATACAATCTTATACTCTCTTATATTCTCTAATAATCTCTTATAATTTCTAATCCTTTCATCAAATGGCTTCCGAATTTGATATAAAGAGCAAAAACTCTCTCTTACTAATCTTAAAATGAGTCCTCCTACAACAGCTACTCCTACCGATCCTACCAGTGTTTAATCCTGAATCCAGTGGCGATGATTCTACACCAAGAGCTCCTAAAAGGTCGAGATCCGATGTGTGAAATTTTTTCGAGAAGATAGACGTCACCAAGGATGAACACGGTAGGATCCTCACCCAGAAGGCTAAATGTGCGTTGTGCGACGAGATTTTCCAAGCTCATCATAAGAGCGGCACCAACCACCTCAAACGTCATATAGAAAAACACAACAAATGCCAGAATTCTCAAGGTGATATCCGACAAACTATGATTTCCCAATCCTCCTCTTCTGGTAGTCTCGGTAGTTTGAATTATGACGCTGCCCGAGCCAGGAAATGCGTCATCAGGTTTATCATTCTTAAAAATATTCCTTTTAAATTAGTAGAAGATGATGAATTTGAAAATATATTTAGAGATGGTTTTTATCCCGCATTTGTAAAATTTTCTCGTCAAACCTGTCAACGTGATATTTTAAAACATTATCAGGAGGAACAAGAAAAAATAATTTTTTATTTTAAAAATTTAAATTGTAGATTTTCTTTAACTTTTGATATTTGGACATTAGAGTACAAACTGGTCATTTATATATCACGACATACTGGATTGATGAAAATTGGTAAATATTTAAAAGAGTTGTTTCCTTTATTATAATTAAAGAGTCACATACTGATATTGATATTACAAATTTAATAATTGAAGAATTTATGAAACTAAAAATTGATCAAAGAATATTTTTTCTTTCACTAGATAATGCAAGTAATAACAATGTACCTATTGATTTTATCAAAACAACTCTGTCATTGCCATGTCGTGGTGATCTTTTTCATATTAGATGTAATTGTCTTATTTTAAATTTAATTGTTCAAAGTGCATTTACTAAAATTAAACTCATGATAGAAAAGGTTAGAACAGTTGCGCTTATATGCATAATGCTTCTGAACAAAGACTTAAAATATGGAAACAATTTTAGAAAAGAAAAAATTATAAGCCCAGACTAATTCCAAAAGATGTTAACCATAGGTAGAATTCCACCTATACAATGTTAAGTGTGACAATATAATATAAAAAAATTATAAATGATTTTATAAATTATTATGCTTATAGTTCTAGCCCTGGTGGCACTTATGGAATAACTGAAGATGAATAGACAATTATATGTAATTTATATGAGATGCTACAAGTTTTTTATGATGCTATAATGTTATTATTTGGCTGTTATTATCCAACTATTACATTAGTTGCTTTACAAATTTAAATTTTCAAAAAAAAATTGTCAAATATCATATGAATGATACTTTTGGAGCTATAATTTTTCAAATGGAGAGCAAATTTAATAAGTATTTTTGAATGATACTTTTGGAGCTATAATTTTTCAAATGGAGAGCAAATTTAATAAGTATTTTAGGTCTATTCTTCATATTTTTGTTTGGAGCTATAATTTTTCAAATGGAGAGCAAATTTAATAAGTATTTTAGGTCTATTCTTCATATTTTTGGTTTGGGGTTCTTATTGATCTATGTTTGAAGGATATTAGCCTTCGAAGTTTGTTACAATCATTGTATGGTGGACATATTATAGACTTAGATGATGGATCATCCTTACTGCTACTTCTCATCATTTAGCTATTAGAAATTATTTTCAAACCTTATATGATGAGTATGCAGCTAGACATGGTGTAGTTGCATAACAATCTACAGCTTCGGCACCTTCGAGCTCAAGCCGATGTAAAAGTGTAAGTTTTGATAGGTATGCAATGATAGCTGATCTAACTGGTGGATCTAGACTTGGATCATCATTAGAGATTTCTGAAATAGATGAATATTTATATGCTTATTTAGTTAAATATCAAGGAAATACTTTAGATATTTTGCAATGGTGAAGAGTATAAATCAGTTTCATATCTTATACTTTTCACCATGGTTCGTGACTTACTAACAATGCATGTTTCGACGGTAGCTTCAGAATCTGCCTTCAGCACAGCAGGACGTTTGATCGACGTCTACAGAACATGCTTAGATCCGTATGTTGGTCTTTTTGTTTTGATAATACTTTAACAAATAATTTATAACTAATATTGTTTGTCTAATGTTTGTATTTTTCTATTTATTATTGACTAACAATGAGTTGGAGGTTGGATGGAATTGCGCTTCAACGATCATATCCAATGGAGGTTGGCGGAATAGTAGAATGAAGCCTTACAATACAAGTTAAAGATCCAAGTTCAAGCTTCATCCGCAAGTGTACAAGTCTAGCTTATTGAAGACCTATAGCTTGGGTAATCTAGTTTAGGAGTTTATATTACGTGTGTTTAGTACTTTAAGCTCAATATCATCTACACACACATTATATTGGTTTCTATGTATATATATAGTTATATATATACATACATGTTTTGGTTTTCAAGTTTATATAAATATGAAATTACAAAATTCATATTTATTGTTTTGGTTTGGTTTATATTTATAGATATAAAACAAATATACATTCATATACATATTTTATGTTTCATATTTATCAGTTTGTTAAATGCATATTGTGCAAAATATTTTTGCATAATATTGAGTTTTTGGGTTATAGACTTTAAAACAATAGTTCATACATTTTATCAAGTCTATAAAGCCATACAAGAGTTTTCAAAATATTTGTTTAAGTCAAAATAACAAAAACATGTGTTTTGTATTTCCATGTTTTGAAAAATAATGAGCTTTTGCAAATGTGAAGTGCAATTCTAAAAATTCTTTTTGTAACATGTTCATTTACATGTTTACAATTATTTTCCAAAGTTTTATAATTTTTAGAATTTATTTGCTATTTTTAAAGGTACTTCAAAGTTCAGTTTTACTGTTCATTTCAAGCTGATAACACGTTATGAGTCGACTGATTCATGTGTTCAGTCGACTGAAGAAAATACCTGGAATAGCCAAAAGTTTTTGTTTTATGTTGGTCGACTGACCAATCGACTGATGAGATCGTCGACTACTGATATGGGTCGTCAGTTGACTGATGAGCTGGAAAATACCTACAACGGTCAGCTCCTTAGTCGACTGATGAAACCCGTCAGTCGACTGATACTGTACCGGCTAGTGTTTTCCAGACTGTTCCAGTTTTGGATTTTTGATCTTTTTGCCTTGTTTTCTCTTAGCTTTGGGGTTTCTATAAATACCCCCACATATCCTCAGTTTTATTTAATAAAGAGAAAAGTTTTAAAGAGTTTCATAAGTTTGTTTAAGGGTTTCAAAAGTGTGTTTATGAGTTTAGTTTGTGAAGAAATTTTCACAAGGGCTTTAGGAGATAATCTTTGGTGTTTGGACATTCAACTCATCTCCCTCTCTCTCTCTTGTCATTATAGAGAAGTTTCCTTAAACTCAATTCTAGCTATTTATTATTTTTGATCTTAATTTCCATAAGCTAGATTTTATATTGAGTTTATAATTGTTTTACTCTTTGTTTACACACACAACCATTGAGCTTATTGTATTTACATACATTGTATAATTGGGTTGTGGGTTTGTGTGACTTAGAGAGTGAGCCTACATAGAGTTCTCATCCATTGTAGAGAACAAACTTTGTTGTATTCGAGCTTAATTGTGAGATCACTTTGTAATACACTTGTACACCAAGAGGAGTGTGTGGTGAGAGACGGGGTCCTCCCAAGAGGAGTGAGGTAGGTGATAATGCCTAGAGGTAGGTTGTAATTCCTAACATTTGAGGGACACGGGCTAGAGACCAACACTTAAATGGTGTAAAGTGTGATTGCAAGAGTGTGGATTGTAAAGTTTTCGGTGAGCTAGAAAACTGAGTGTGTGGTGTAAACGTTATTCGGATGAGCGTAGAAAACTCGATTGTGATAGTGGAGATCTCCTCGAGGTGAGGAGCGGAGACATAGGTCGTGGGGACCGAACTTCATGATCATATCTTGTGTTTGAGTTTGGCTTGGCGCACTTATATTTTTGTTCATCTTTATTGTCATTCTCTCCTTGTTTATTTCATCCACTATATTGTTTATATCTTGTTTCACCCTTGTGTTAGTCTCATATTCTTACATATATCTCTTGTTGTATCTCATTGCTAGGATATATTTGTTAATTAGTTTTAATTGGTAATTAAATCAGATTAGATTAGCATAAATCCTATTCACCCCTCCCTCTAGGGTTCTTTTACCGTATATTGTACAAGCGGTGATGTGCTTACAAGATTCGTGAAGTTACGAGAAGCGAATGCAAGGCATCGATCGGATGGCTGAAATTGAAGATAAATTTGAAGAGTTAGGACTAGTAGATAGATATAAAGATTAAACAATATTCATCAAATTATAATTTTTATTTCTTAGCTTTAAATTTGTAATCAATTATTTTGGAAACAGTTACAAATGATAATGATATAGGTGAGTAGGTACCAACTTAGTTGGGATGTACTCATCTATTGTAATGCGACGAATTCCAAAATAAATTTATACTTGTAAAAAATTTATTCACCCCTCCCTCTAGGGTTCTTTCACCGTATATTGTACAAGCGGTGATGTGCTTACAAGATTCGTGAAGTTACGAGAAGCGAATGCAAGGCATCGATCGGATGGCTGAAATTGAAGATAAATTTGAAGAGTTAGGACTAGTAGATAGATATAAAGATTAAACAATATTCATCAAATTATAATTTTTATTTCTTAGCTTTAAATTTGTAATCAATTATTTTGGAAACAGTTACAAATGATAATGATATAGGTGAATAGGTACCAACTTAGTTGGGATGTACTCATCTATTGTAATGCGACGAATTCCAAAATAAATTTATACTTGTAAAAAATTTATTAATTATTAATAAAAAAGTTATTTTTATTATCTTTTATTTTTATAATTTTTTGTTTTTATAATTTAGGTCATTTCAAGTTATTAATAATATTATTGTTTTTTATTAGCATTTTCTATAATTTTTTATGTATATTTTAAAATTTAAAGAGATTTTTAAAAAATAAAAAAAGTAAAAAAATACGGGCCGACCCGGAGTCCGACCTGCTCAGGCCCGGGCTCCGATTTTGCCCGGCCCGGATGGACAGGCCTAGTCCTAGTGACAACTATAGTCAAGTATTTACTTCAAAAGTAACGAGAGAGAGGGCTATATTTCGACTTTGATATTTTTACCAATAAAAAAAATTCTAGTCCTTTTTCTTCAATCCTTGGAGAAAATCTATTCGGTGAATGCAGGCAAAGCAACAGTTCTTATTACACAATATAGCTTTGACTGATTCTAGCTACGAAAAGCCTTACTTAAATCTAACATCAATTCTGGTAAAAACCGCAAGCACCAGGCAACGAGTTTACACATAAAAGTATCCGCTTTGCGATGCTAAACTTCCGAGTTAGAACCATACTTTTCACTTGTCCTCCCAACAAACGATTCTGGTCAACAAGAAGTATCAGAAATTGATCATATATTACAACTATTTCCAAAGCTACTGACTACACTTTTGGGAACTCTACATAACCACTAAATTTGCTAGGAGCCTACTACTGCACACAGTTAGCACGAGCACTGCTATTGTTATGGTAACTTGATAATTTTTCATTCCCCAGATCAGGAAATATGTCAGTTGAGTTCTCAAAAGCATCAAACTATGCAGTCGCCCATGGAGTATCCAAATTTCCATTGACATTTAGCGCATCGATAGTCAGTGAAGACATTTCATCTCGAGACGCATACCAAGAGTTGCCACACCCACCGCACTCAAGCTGGATGACAGAATCAAGAAAAAGAAGAGAACAAAAAAGATGTCAAGGTCTGTTGAAATAGCAACTAGAAGTATTTCAAAAAGAAACATTGACCTAGCATCACAGTCACAGCTATAGAAATAATATGAAAGTCTCCTACATGAGTTTGGAACCAACTCTATAATAGGTTCGAGTAATACCAAAGACTATTAAATACTTTGGTATAGGACTATGGAAGAAAAAGTAAGACTCCAATGTGTACAAGAAATAGTAAGTCATGCTGAAAGTTCGATGGCTTGAAACGGAATCTTTTGATGAATATATTCATTTATATACCTCATAGCGATCCCCAGCCGCTCCAGCACATATGATTCCATTAATATGAACTTGTTTTTGCATACATCTCGAACATCGAGCATCTGTCATCTGTGCACAAACCGAAACATTTAAGATTATTATACAAGAGGAATACAACTTCTACATCCCAAGGTTCATATTTCACTCAAATTCAATAGTGTGTCTTTCTTAAACGTTTGATATTTCTGGTTTAAATCCTACAAGTCATTTCAATGAATACAGCATAAGGAAGTTACTCCAACAAATGAGTTAGAACACATGTCCTTGTACTTGGAGGTTACTATCTAACCTGCATTTGCACTGGTTTTTCAGTCTCTGTCGCTATTCTTTCATCTGCAGTCAATCCTTCCTGTATTATTTGAATCAAAGAAAGTAGAGAAACAATAAAACATAATAGAAAAATGAACTGGCAAAATGCACAAGGCAGATATGTACAGCACAAATTTAAAAAGAAAACTTCCACCTAAGTATGAACCGTCTCATTCTTTAATTGGGACTGAAAGAAACCAATTTATGTGTGAGTTTCTTTCTTTTACATGTACTAGTCGTATCATCTTTTTCCCGCTACAATAATCCCAATTTTTAAATGCTGCAGTAATATTTTAAAAAAAATTTGAATTGCTACATTTCCGTGACTTTTTTAAAAATGCTACAGTATTCCCGTGTGCTACAGTAATATTTTTTCAAAATGTTACGGTACCCAGTTTCATATTTGCTACAATAATAATGATATAGTAAAAACTACTATAGCATTACGGTAGTATGAATAGCGAATCTTGGGTTCTCACATTTGTATAGAGGAGTAGATATGTTAAGATTTTTTAAAATTAGAATGAATAAAAATAAAAGTTGCATGCCCCCTTTTATATATGAAAACATCTACTTAAATATCAACGTCTTCCAAATGAAAAATAAAAGGGAAAAATGCTTCCAGCCCCCAAAATGAAAGAAAACTTGTCTTCCACCCCCAAGACTTTTTCAACGGGTGTTTTGCCCCCAAAAGTAAATTTTTTGTTCTCTGAGCCCCCAAAACACAACACCCAAGTAATTTAAATATGTGAAGACTATAATACCCTTCTCTCTCTTTTTTTATCTGTTATGAATTGAAAGAGCTTCCTCCGTCAATCCCAGCGGAGAAGCTCCGACGTGGAGGTCAGCGAGGTTCAGAACCTGGAGGTCGACGAGATCGCCGACGGCGAGGTCTTGGGTGCTCACCGGAGATCTCGTTGGAGGCGAGAGAGAGGACTCTGAGCTCGGCGGAGGAGGGGAGAGAGGAGGGGAGGGAGCCATTAAGGAGGTTGGCAGAGAGGTCGAGGTGGCGGAGGTGGGGGAGGAGGAAGAGGTCTGAGGGGAGGGAGCTGAGGAGGCAGGCGCCATGGAGGAGGAGGCGGACGACGCGGGAAACGGAGGTGAGGGTCAAGATTCTGTCGGGGAAGTCGGTGCACGTGACGCCGTTCCAGGAGCAGGGAGACTCGTCTTAGTCCCAGTTGGAGAGGACGCTCAGCGGGTCGTCGAGAACGGAGTACTTGAAGGAGAGGAGGAGGGTTCCGTCGGAGTTGAGGGAGGAGACCAGAGAAGGTAAGACGAAGAGGAGGAGGAAGAGTCTCCAATGGGGGACTCTGGAGCTCGCCATGGATGAGTTGGAGCTTCGAAGAGAGAGAGAGAGAGCTAGTGCATTTTTTGTAGAGAGAGAGAGAGAGAGGAAAAGAATCACCTGCGCTAGTTTTATTTGGAGAAGAGTCGCTTACCGAATCCATGGAGGAGCTGTTGACGCATCATAAAATAGTCGGGGATGCTTTGGAGTTGGAAAGATATTTTCATATAAACCCCCTTAAGAATTTGGGCTTTTATGTGGTTTGCAATTTGTAAAGATTTAACAAAAAATAGTTGAAGGTTACGTGTTAGTTGTTAAAATTACGTGTTAATTGTTAAGGTTACGGGTCAGTTGTTAAGGTTACAAGTCGGTTGTGAAGGTTACACGTTGGTTGTTAAGGTTACTGGTTGGCTGTTAAGGTTATGAGTTGGTTGTTAAGGTTACGAGTTGACTGTTAAAGTTACAGGTTAGTTGTTAAGGTTACGAGTTGGCTGTTAAGATTACGGCCCCGTAACCTTAACAACTAACGCGTAATAAGTGAATTCTCATAAGCATCAACAGTAGGCAATTAAAGAGCTAAAAATAGAAAAAAAATATTATAAAAATATTTATTGTGGCTGTAGGGGTTTGAACCCCTAACTTGTCCAACCTCGCAAACTTTACCACTAGGCTAAATGGCTCAAAGTATTCATATCACTCAAAAAATATATACATATATATCCCAACGCGTAACCTTAACAACCGACGTGTAACCTTCACAACCGTCCCGTAACCTTAACAACCGACTCGTAACATTAACAACCAACCCTTAACCTTAACAACCGACCCGTAACCTTAACAATTAACACATAACTTTAACAACCAATGCGTAACCTTCAAATGTTTTTTTTGTTAAATCTTTACAAATTGCAAACCACATAAAAAACCCAAATTCTTAAGGGGGGTTTATATGAAAATATCTTCCCAACTCCAAAGCATCCTCGACTATATTATGATCCGTCAGCAGCTCCTCCATGGATTCGGTAAGCAACTCCTCTCCAAACAAAACCAGCGCAAGTGATCATTTTCCTCTCTCTCTCTCTCTACAAAAAATGCACTAGCTCTCTCTCTCTCTCACTTCGAAGCTCCAACTCATCCATGAAGAGCTCCAGAGTCCCCTATAGGAGACTCTTCCTCCTCCTCTTCGTCTTACCTTCTCTGGTCTCCTCCCTCAACTCCGATGAAACCCTCCTCCTCTCCTTCAAGTACTCCGTTCTCGATGACTTGCTGAACGTCGTCTCCAACTGGGACTACGACAACGAGTCTCCCTGCTCCTGGAATGACGTCACGTGCACCGGCTTCCCCGACAGAATCTTGACCCTCACCTCCATTTCCCGTGTCGTCGCCTCGTCGGCCTCCTCCTCCCTGGCGCCCGCCTCCTTGGCTCCCTCCCCTTTGACCTCTTCCTCCTCCCCCACCTCCGTCACCTCGACCTCTCCACCAACCTCCTCAATGGCTCCCTCCCCTCCTCTCTCCCCTCCTCCGCCCAGCTCAGGATCCTCTCTCTCGCCTCCAACGAGATCTCCGACGAGCACCCAAGACCTCCCCGTCGGCGATCTCGCCGAGCTCCAGGTGCTGAACCTCGCTGACCTCCACGTCGAGCTTCTCCGCTGGAATTGATGGAGGAAGCTCTTTCAATTCATAACAGATAAAAAGAGAGAGAGAAGGGTATTATAGTCTTCACATATTTAAATTACTTGGGTGTTGTGTTTTGGGGGCTCAGAGAATAAAAAATTTACTTTTGGGGGCAAAACACCCGTTAAAAAAGTCTTGGGGGTGGGAGACAAGTTTTCTTTCATTTTGGGGGCTGGAAGCATTTTTCCCAAAATAAAATCAACTAATAAAAATAGAGTAACTCAGAAAGTAATCAAAGATGATACATAGAGTATCAAAATATCGAGTATGCAAGAGGGTTAATGTTAAGAACCGTGAGACAGTCCCTACTTGTCACGCCCCGGGCCCGCAAGCCC